GTCTTTTAAATTCAAGCTTTTTTTCTTGTCAAAAAACAGCTCGAACAAAAGAAAAACAAAGTTAATTTCAGTTGTTATGATTGTGTTCGTATTTTTCAGTGTCACCTGCGCAGCAATCACTTATGTTTGTTTCTGTAATCACTTGCTGACTGATGCAGTTAAACTAAAAAACAAAATATTGTACTCTTAAAAGAATAGCTGTTTTATTTGCAAGTATCAATAAAAGTCCCTACTGATATAGAAAAAAAATAGAAACTGTTACTTTTATTTCAAACTTCGTCATTTTTTTTGCGGTGTGATGATAGAATCTAATAAAAAAACATAGATTATCGATATAGATTTTTTAAGTATAATTGGCCACGTTCTTCATCGTAAAGTATTTAGAACAACAAAAAAAAACAAAAAAAAATTTCTAAATATTTTTTTTTGGAGTTTCCTAGGCTTTTCTTTCAACTTTAATCCTAAGAGAGCGCTAATCAAATTCGAATTTAACTTGTCTAAAATCAAATTTTATGAATTAACTTGATTTTTCAGCTTGCCACTAGATGCCTATTTTAACCTTTTATAAGCCTGCTTGCCCGCTTATTCGCTGAAAACCGGACATAAATTTAAAATTTTAGAACGGTTTTCTTGACACAAAACTTTTTGATTTTTGTTAAGTTAGTTCGAATCACAAATGAAATCATTTTATTACATTACATCACTCGAATTTTTCCGGCGAAGGTTTGTGGTACCTGATTTTGTATGGAAACAAAAAAGAAAAAAAACTAAAACATACTCGAATAAAAAGTTCCTCCCCCCTTTCAACGATCGGAAGAATGAATCTCGATGTTTTTTTCGTGATGGGCATAATTGTTTAACAAGCAAACAAAATATCTCTAAAAATTAAATAGCGAACGGTTAAAAGGTGGAAAATTTTACTTTTCCTGAAAAAGTAAACCCATTGAAAAACTAGACATTTTGGTTAGAGTTACACAAAAAGGGGAGTATTTCTTAATTTAGGCAGTTTTATTTCAAATACGATATTGGCTTTAAAAATTTTCACACAAACGAATCAGAACCAAAAAGGGCTGAACAACTTAGGGAGGGATTTAAAATTATTCGCTGAAATGAACAACTATTTTCTACCAACTAATCTTTCAAACAAACTTATGCATGACTTACTGAGATGGAAATTTTCTCGTGTTTCTGCACGGTTCAAACGGACATTTGAAACATTTGGAATTCGAGGCCTGTGGTCTTTTCAAATTCAGTTTCTGTTATTGTCGGGCTGAATAAAAAACATTTGGCATACTGCACACAATTAATCGGAAATAACTGTCGGCTAATTTCAAATTTCTTGTCAATTTTTTGCAATCAGAGTTGTTTGTTTGTAAACTTCGGGTCATAAATTTTGGGAAGAACTAGATGACCATAAAAACAACAGAAGTGAAGCCATTTATAGCCCTCGAGTTTAGACAACTTTTCGAAATTTATGAAGAACTTTGTGAAGTTTGAACTTCAAAAGGTACAGATTTTCCCACTTCTATTCTTAATTTGGTCCGTTGAGTTCTGTATTAACCAAACTAACTTGCATAATAACTTGGTTTAAACTTATAATAACATATGGCCTATTTGACTAACCTGTCAAACTTTCTTGTATCTGCAGGTGTTGGTGATTTTCACGTTCTCCAGTTATTTCTTGTCAAGAGAAGTCTGGGCTAGACAAAATTGGGCAAATTAGTCGGAAAAGGGAGGAACACAGGGCGAATACCTTTTCTGATCGAGTGACCAATCGGTCAAACATTGATTCAAGTTTGATCGCAATTTTGATCACTTAAGCTGAAATATATTTTTCCATGTGCTAGGAACGTCTAGAAGTCTTTTTCCAAGATTGAGTATAATTTCAAACGATAGTGTAATCGTTTTCAACTGTAAAAATTTTTCTTCCCACTTTCCCGAAAGGTTTCAAAAAATTGTGAATTTTGTAGTGTTTCAAGAAATGCAAAAAATTAGACCTCAATTAATGAAGTCAAAAATTTGACTCAGATTTGAATCATAATTTTGGTAAGCAATTGCATTTTCTTTTTTAGCATTAGAATTCACATAAATGAATGCATTCTTTTAAGGTGAAAAATTTTTTGAATCATATTTTGTTTTTGATTCAAATATAGATTATATAATAATCATGCAAATGAATAAATGTTGAAATCTGAAACTGAATAAAATTGCCCAGTGGACAAATAGTAGTGATTACTTTTTAAACTTATTGACTCAGTCAAAAATAAGGTTTGAGACAAAATCACGATCAAAGTTTTGACAGGAACAAATAACCAAATTAACATATATTAATCAAAAACTGAAAAATTGCTTGCAAAAAAGTGGCATTTTTCAGAAACACAGATTGTCAAATTGTTCAAATAATCCAGAGTTGGCCGACTTAAATTATTTAAAATAAATTGAGGGTCGACCTATATAATCGTTAGCGACCTATATAACATATGTCAAATTTCTGACTTTCGTTGTGCATATTCGATTAATAAATAACTCGAAAACAGGAGGGGGGGGGGGGGTGTTTGTACCTTGTGCGATAATGGTTCTGGTATCTCAACTTTTTATGACTCAATCAACGGCTTTTCGTGGTATTTCGTAGGGCAGGGCGAATCTTCGTAGCCGGCGACAGCTCGTAACGGGCGACAGTTTATAACAAACGACAATTCGTAGCAAGCCACAAATCACATAAAGCCATTTGCAAGTAGGAAATGCTTGTTCGGTTTCGATCAGTTTCTAATCAATTCAATGATGTTTTATAGTTATTTTTTTTTGCGATTTGCAGAGCATCTATCAATCCAGCCTGCTAAGAATGAGCATTTTCTTATTTCCCAAAATGCTCCAGCTTAACTCCACATTATTTTTTCAGATTTTCTGGAAAATTGTGTTTCTGGAACTTTCAACTGACATCCTTAATGCAGCAGAGTTCAGAAAGGCAATATTAGACTCATTACAAAACCAAACAATGTTTTTTTTTGTGAATTGTGAGCCGATTCCGCGAATGGCCAAAAAGTGTCACGGAAGGCGCAAAATTGCTTGTTTTATTGGATCTTCTTTGCTATTTTGGAATTCATGAAAACAGAGCTGCAACACTGTATCATTCCAAATTGCTCCAAAAACAGGCAAATGTGCGGAATCTGCAACAAATTTTGAGGAATCCGGAACAGTTTGTGGAACCCACAAAAAATAAGTCTTATGTTTTGTAAAATTACGCTGTCGCGTAATCGGCAACTGTCAGCAGAATCCGCAAAATGTAAGCGGAATTCTAAAAAAATGTGAGCAAAAATTTGTGAGAGGATTTTTTTTTGTCTTCGAAATTTTCAATGGTAGAGTAAACTGAAATATTACTTTTTCACACTGACATTACCGTACCATTACCTTTTTTTTACTGAATTGAGGCCAACTAGTTGGCTTAACACATTTTTAAATGGCCAAAAGTACTCCAACAAAAACCCGTATATTTACCATTCAAAAATTTTGTGAGAATTTGGGATTTAACGAAAAATCTTAAATCTTTTTCTCTTTTGGCGTTTTTTTTTATTTTATAGTTCGTATAAAGAGAAGTTTTTTAACTAAAGAGGATTTGGAGGGTTATGCTTGATATATTAGAGATTTTTTTATTTTAAAAAAAGATCCCAAAAGACTTTCATTGATGAAAAAAGTAACGCTCAATTGGTTTCACTCACTAAATCAGTGTTTTTGAGAAATTGAAATAAAAATTTAAAATGCCATTCAGCTGTTTGGAATCAGTTGTGACCGAACCTTGAAAAAAACTGACGAACTAAGGGAATCTACAAAAGTAGGATAATCTTTAGTCCTTTTTTTTATGTTAGCAGTTCTTCAGTAAAAAGCCTTAAAGAAACAATCTACCATAACTTTATATCCAATTTTGTTCTTTAAACGTCTCAAAATTCATGCTAACGAAGGCTCTGTTAAGGATTTTTTTTATTGTTTATCGAAATTCAAAATTTTCATTGATGAGTTTAGAGTGACCTATTTTGAGGTTTATGATATATGTTTCTCTGTCCTCCATCCTTATCTTTACAACAAAAGGGTTGATTTTACAAAATAAACTTCGAGAGTAAGAAGTTGGTACAATGATGGTAAGAAGTTTCGAATTCTTCATAATCAACAAGTAACAACCTTGTGTATAAATATAAAAAATAGTGTAAAAAGTTTACTACATGCAAACTGTTCGGAGACATAACAGAAGACTTCTCATATCTCTTTGTCGGTTTATCAAAAACATATTGAAAGCTTTTTCAAAAAAACTAAGGTTAAAAATGTCTTCACGAAGTTTTGTGCAATTGTACAACAGGGAAAGAAAGTTTTGATTATTTTTTTTGTTTTTAACTGATTATTGTCTGAGTGGGAGAATTGGTGAAAAGAAAATAACAAAAATTGGGCTTATCTTTGATTTGATCAGATGTTGATACCAAAAATACTGATATTTTATAAAATTTTTACAAGTTATTGTTGTGTAAATACTGTCTTCTAAAAAAACTAGCGAACTTTACAAAAAAGAGTACCTATAAAATGTCCAATAAATCAGATCTTTGCTCTAAATTTTGCATAAGGTGCGGTGAAATTTTTTTCTCTGTTCAATTTAGGCGTCAACATGAACGATTTTTTTCTCTGAAAAAAATTTTCGGGGAAGAAATTTCCTGACTTATCAGAAAATTTTAAGACAAATTCAACTTTTATATCTAAGTTTGCTTTGTTTTTAAGCAATTCTGTTTCTGTAATTTGAATTTAATAAAGGTGCTTTTTTCTGTCAAACAAATCTAATGCCCGAAAAAAAAATTCGGGGTAGTGTAGTTAAGTTTTGACAAATCAAAGAATAGCGCTTGAATTTTTTTACAAAAAAAGTCCAGTTTGAGGTAACCAATTTTTACAAGCAAAAAAAAAAAAACATATCGGCACCATTTGATGAGTTTGTTTTTTGCTTTTGATTCAATCAGAATCTAAATTTAGCATACACTAAACTGTACAAAATTGTTCTTTTTTTGTTTTTGCTTCAGTAAAACGTCTTAATGTACATCGTCATTGTTTCTGAGAACTAATTTAATCTTCTAATAGTAGAAAGACTCAAGAATTTTAGAAAAAAAATCAGAGTCTTCTTAGTGTGGAAACCTTGCTAAAAGTTTGTGGTTTAGTTTTTACCTCAGAAGAGAGTTTTCGGAAGCCTGACATATCTTATTGTAAGCAAAAAAGAGAACTACACCAGAAAAAAGTGAAAAAAGGGAAGTACTGGTAAAACTGAAGAAAATCTTGAGGAAAATGTAATTATTCCAATTGATTGTACGATTTTTTTTGAATGAGAAACAACAAACTGCTGCTTTAAGTTTACGGCAAAAATGAACAAAAATGTGTCCTTAAGACAAACTGTTCCCCAAACTGACTTGGATGTAGACCAAAAAAGAAAAACAAAATAAATTTCCTGAAGATTAAGCAAAAAAAAACATACATATCAGCACCATTTGATGAGTTTGTTTTTTGCTTTTGATTCAATCAGAATCTAAATTTAGCATACACTAAACTGTACAAAATTGTTCTTTTTTTGTTTTTGCTTCAGTAAAACATCTTAATGTACATCGTCATTGTTTCTGAGAACTAATTTAATCTTCTAATAGTAGAAAGACTCAAGAATTTTAGAAAAAAAATCAGAGTCTTCTTAGTGTGGAAACCTAGCTAAAAATTTGTGATTTTAGTTTTTACCTCAGAAGAGAGTTTTCAGAAGCCTCACATATCTTGTTGTAAGCAAAAAAGAGAACTACACCAGAAAAAAGTGAAAAAAGGGAAGTACTGGTAAAACTGAAGAAAATCTTGAGGAAAATATAACTATTCCAATTCATTGTACGATTTTTTTTGAATGAGAAACAACAAACTGCTGCTTTAAGTTTACCGCAAAAATGAACAAAAATGTGTCCTTAAGACAAACTGTTCCCCAAACTGACTTGGATGCAGACCAAAAAAGAAAAACAAATTAAATTCCCTGAAGATTAAGCAAATTTGATATGAAGCAACTTACTTTAAGAAGTTTGTGACCTCAAACTTTTTACCACGTAAAAAATTCTTTTTTGTCTTCTTGGATCTAGTCAATAGTAAACAAACAATATCAAACTGAGCCTATTGTCTGGACCAACAAAATCGTATTAGAAATAGTCTCCAAAAACTTGTAAGAAATTACGTTTGTTTTTGTAATTTGTTTTTAAATTTAAAACTTATAAGTGATTGGTTAAAATGACACATTTTAGCTAGTATAAACAAACAAGTTCGATTTTAAGAAAAAGTTAATTTTCAGAAACTTTGTTGAGCTACATCAGTGGCTCATTTTGATAAAAGTTTGACAGTAAGTGACTCGATAGTTTTGGCGTGGTTTTTGACCATTTGAACACCGAATATTATCTTTTTTGGGTCCAAAATTTGGCCTCGGTCTTTTTGCTTGCAGTCAACCCTGCTCGAGAAAAAAAACGTGTTGTAATTAACTTTCAATTTCAAGTGTTCGTCCAAAAAATTTCTATCAGCGCCGTGCAAGAAGCAGAAATTATCCAATAAGAGCCATTTTCATTTTCCTATTTGAATTATTTTGAAACTAAGTCTTTTTACTACTGTAAAAATCTGTAAAAACAAAATACAAAAAGTTTTATTTTTTTCTAGCGTTTTTTTT